CCTTGTGTCTTACGTTTTTGTACATTTATCCTATATTTCTGAAAAGTGCACCCTCATGCCTTCCATTAGTTAATTTTACTATTACATGAAAACGAGTTATGTCATTTGAAAATTTACACTGAAAAAAGAATATACAAAACACAACATATAGTCAATGCCATGGCTATGTCAACAGGCAAGTCTCGTTGGGGATGCTTTACGTGCAAAGATAATTGGCATCGCCAACATGTAAAGATAATTGCACCAACGCTTGTTTCTTTAATTCTTAAGAGAATCACAATAAAGTTTGTTAGAATCACAACAAAGTTTGTTATACACATACACACAACAAAAGTGAGCTATTCAGGATGTAATGTGACACAAAAATTGTGTATAGATTTTGTACCTCCTTAGTAGTAGTGCTGGTAACTGAATCAAAACCAATGTATGAAAAGAAGACTATTGCAGATCCATCAAACATCTCGTTTATTCCACAGGGAAAATACCTAAAAACAAGACAAGATAAAAAAAATGAAACAAGAAGTACCCGCTCTGAATTTTATATCCAGTCCATCCAAGTCTGAATCCCCAAATATCCATCAGATGTCATGATAAAAAGTAGGGTTGCCAACGTTAACTGTTGTAACAACCATTTAAGACAGGAATTATTCTGACGATTAATTTCAAAAATTGCCCCTGAACTATGACCATTTTAACACTTTGCCCCTTGAATTTTAAAAAGTAATATCCGTTTTTCCTCTTCTGTTAGAATGATTGACGGAAATCGCCACGTGTCACTTATTTGGTGGTGCAAGCAGATAGGTCAAATAAGTGACATTTGGCGATTTCTGTCAATCATTCTAACAGAAGGGGAAAACTTGTTAATGGAACAAAGTTCAGGGGAAACGGATGTTACTTTTAAAATTCAGGGGGCAAAGTGTTAAAATGGTCATAGTTTAAGGAGAATTTTCTGAAATTAATCCTTATTCTAATGAAAGTAAGAAAGTTAATAGAGAAAATTTTAAACAAATGACAAGAAGGATATATAGGCTAGAAATACCTACATTTAAGAAAAAAAAAAGTACCTCCTTGATCTCAATGCACAAGAGAACAGTGACTATTACACAAGTGCTGCACATGGATCAACCACAATACCAAGTCCAGGAATCGTATGACGAGACAAGAAAGTAGGTATATTGGCCTCACCTCCGATGACAATCTTTTAAATACGAGGAAAGAATAAATTCTACTATAAAAGTAAATCATTTGTTCATATTTCACCAAAACCTTGATTCTTTTTTTTCTACCAATTGCAAATCTACTACCGTGGAAAACAACCTAATCAAATTAAAAAAGGCTAAGATGCATATAAGCATTCTTCTCAAATGTGAACTGAACATTATGTTTAGAAGTTACAAAGTTGAAAAGAGTAGAAAAAACCAACCTGTTGAATGGTTTTGTAAAAGACATCTACTGCTTTGAGCTTTCATGTTTAGCAGTGGGAAAGATGCCAGTACACCATCGATTTTTAGGGGGGAAAAAAACAGATTCTGATAAGCTCACGGACTAATAACAGAGGAAAGAATTACAAGATATGGGGGTTTTCGAGTGACCCCGTGCACTCCTTCACTAACTTCAACTTCACACTTTTCGCATCCCTTTCTCACTTTGTCCTCCCTCCCTATTTATTCGATCACATTTCCCTAGTTACAGACTCCAATGCAGCTAACTAGCTAACAGACCTTTCCCTCTCTCAACCCAACTCATCCCCTCATGCCAACTCAGCCCCCTCCTAACCGTCCTGAGAAGTGTTCCCCTGTGCTGCAGCTTCCATCTCTTTCCATGTCCCCGCATGATCCTTCTCACAGAGTCTTTTCCGTACATAAGTGAATCGTAATGGAGGCTTATCATTACCCCAGCCCCAAAGACGCACCTTGTCCTCAAGGTGAAAGTGAGGGTACTGTTGGTCTATTGCCTGATAGGACTCCCACGTGTCCTCATGGGCAGGTAAATTAGCCCAACATATCAGAACCTCTGGGTCCGAGTGTCCCCCATGTACCCGCTGGCGCACCCCAAGTAGGGCAGCTGGTTCTGCCCGCAGCTCCAAGTCCTTTGTGAGGTGTGGTGGCAAGGCAGAGACAGGCTGCCCTTGCCCAACAACACGGCGTAGTTGAGAGACATGAAACACCGGGTGGATAGCAGCCTCCGCTGGAAGGTTAAGGCGGCATGCAACTGGCCCCACACAGCCAATGATCTCAAAGAAGCCATGAAAACGGGGACTTAACTTCTCATTGCGTCTGCACGCCAAACTCACCTGATGATAAGGACGAAGCTTGAGATACACTGAGTCCCCCACGGTGAAGAACTGGGCATCCTGGTGCTTGTTATCGGCCACGGACTTCATTTTCTACTGGGCGCGAAGAAGATGGAACTTGAGAAGGTCCAGCATTGCATCGCGGTCCATGAGGTGCTGCTCCACGGAATCCACCGAAGAAGAGCCCATGCCATAACGCAACAGTGGAGGGGGAGCGCGGCCGTATACTGCCTGAAAAGGAGTGGTGCGGGTGGCTGTATGAAAAGAGGTGTTGTACCAGTACTCCGACCAAGCTAACCATTTGTGCCACTGGCTGGGCTTGTATGAAGTGAAACAACGCGAGTACGTTTCCACGCACCTATTGACCACCTCGGTTTGGCCGTCAGATTGGGGATGGTAGGCTGTGCTCCGTGATAAAGTAGTACCCATCTACTTGTGGATCTCAGTCCAAAAATGAATAAGAAAAATACGATCGCAATCCGACACGATAGTACGGAGCACCCCATGGAGGCGAACTACTTCCCGAATGAAGAGTCTGGCCACGATCTCTGCGGAAAAAGGATGTTTCAATGCAAGGAAATGTCCATACTTGCTGAGTCAATCCACGATGATCAAGATGGTGTCGTACCCCTCCGAACGCGGTAAGCCCTCAATAAAGTCCATCGAAAGGTCCTCAGGAGACCACTAGGGGCCAGTGTAGAAGTCTTACAGCGCTGACACACTGCACACGCAGCTACATAAGCAGTGACGTCCTTTTTCATACCAGTCCAGTACCATTATGCTGCAATCCGCCGGTATGTCTTCAATACGCCCAAGTGTCTCCCAAGACACCATCATGGTAGGAATGCAGCAGTGTTTTAATAAATGGAGACTCCCAAGGTACCACCACCATTCTGCCGTGGTATAATAACCTGCCTTGAGCAATGGAAAAACCTGGATGTACTGTAACATCCTACTGTAATTCGGACCATACCTTAGCTAAGTTTTCATCGAGCAATACCTGCTGGTGCAGTTCACTATTGTCGACAATTGGGGCCACCGATAAGGCACTCAGGTCCGGGGTGCTAATAAGGCGGGCGAGAGCGTCCGCAGCCCTATTGTCCGATCCCGGTTTATATTGGATTTCAAAGTTGTAACCCATCAGCTTGGTTAACCACTTCTGGTGTTCTGGAGACACTAGGCGTTGCTCCAGCAGGTACTTAAGGCTACGTTGGTCGGTGCGGATCACGAAATGACGTCCCACGAGATATGGCCGCCATTTCTGAATGGCTAGGACTATGGCCATCAATTCTCTCTCATAAACTGATTTGCCGCGTGCTTGTGCGGAAAGAGCCTGACTAAAATATGCAATGGGCCGTTGCTCTTGCATTAACACTACCCCAACCCCATGGCCAGAAGCATATGTTTCCAACACGAAGGGTTTGTTGAAATCGGGAAAGGCTAGGATGGGTACTACTGTCATGCCAGCTCATCCTCTCGTGCCAACTCAGCCCCCTCCTAACCGTCCTGAGAAGTGTTCCCCTGTGCTGCAGCTTCCATCTCTTTCCATGTCCCCGCGTGATCCTTCTCACGGAGTCTTTCCGTACACAAGTGAATCGTAGGGGAGGCTTATCAGGTTCTTTTTAAATTTCATCTACCAATTTTTTAGTCCTTTTTCTTTTTCTTTGCTTTCTTTTTTTCCCCTCACACTCGCTTTCTGTCTCTCACATCTTTTTTTTCATTTTCCTTTTATGTATCTCTATGTCTCTCTTTTCATTCTCATTCTTACTATTTATTATTTGTTCTCTTTTTTCTGTTTTTCTCTTATTTTTCTTGCTACTCTTCATTATTTTTTTCCTCTTTCTCATCTAACTCTTTTTCCCTCTCTTTTTCTTACTTTTCCGTTTCTCTCTCTCTCCAATGGCTTAATGATAATGGCAGTAAGTTTTCCTACAATGAAGATGAAGATGAAAACGCTAACCCCCGAAAGAAAACACAAAACGAAAAGAAAAGACAGCATTTAAAAAATTAATAGAATAAAACAAAACAAAAAGGAGAAACCTTATGGGTGCATTGGATGAACGACAATAGTAATGGAATAGAATGTAAATAAAAAAATGATTCATTCGCTTTGTTGTGATTTGAAAACGCTATGAAATGGAATATGAATATTTTCATGTTAACAAAATTACCCTCAAGTTATATATATATATATATATATATATATATAATCTAATCTAATATATTATATATATTATATATTATAATAAATTTAATAAATATTAACACATTCTTACCCTTAATAGATGCTTCAGTAGAATTGCATTAACCATATCGTTTTCCCTTCAAATACCATCATGGAATCAGAGTAAGATGATCATGATGGGACAGCACTTTGGCCACATGCGATTGTACCCTCATCCATATCAAGCTTGTCCTGGCTAACTTGTCAAAAATCACAAAATGCACATTGATGAATGTTTAGTTTAGAGAGGAACAAAACAACCCAAAGTAATTACAGAAAGAATACTTACACAAAGGTAACAAGATATCATTATTTACAAGTGTTGTAACCCGCAGAAACTTATAATGCACACTATAACATGCAACAACAAAGAAACATACCTTCTTTGGTTGGACTTATCCACCAACAACAAGAACAGATTCACATGATCACACATATTAAGAATCACATAACAGAAATATGAATGGAACAATTAATGGAAGAGAAATTTGTAATCATATGACTTATCAGACATTAGCAACTAAGAAATCCTTGCCAACATTTGATCATAAAATTGATGTTTTCTTAATGGAACTAACACCCTTTGCAACAACAATATCCCGTGTTTATCTCACAGCAACCAAACAATAAGAAAGTTACCCATTACAGAAGAGATTCGCACGTATGCAAGTGCAGATATATGTTTCAAATAATAAAAAAAAAAGATGGAACAGATGAAATTACTCTGATAATGGCCTCTCTCACAAGCCCAAATTGATGGCTCTTCGTTCATCTAAATGCACAGAAGGAGAGCACAAACAAAAGGTAGGGAGAGGTGAAAGAAAAGGAAAGAGAAAAAAGCTGGAGGAGAAAAGAATGGAAGAAGAGGGGGGGGAGACAACGTTACTAAAAAGAACCCAAAAGGAATGAACCTAGTTCTCGAACAGTGACTAAAAAGAACCCAGATTTATAATAAAAAGGAATGAAAAGTGACTAAAAAGAGCCATAACCATTATTTCCATCTTTATTGCAATTTTCCCTTCAATATTAAGTTGTTAAATAGTAAGATTCCGGTAGGAAAAAAGCTCACATAATTTAGGGATTAGCTAAGATCGATCTCTTATGGGTTGTTTGGTTGAGAGATTCGTACCCTGATTCGAATAACGGTTCATGGTTCGTTACAGTATTTTCTCTTATAAAAAATACACGTAAATCGAAAATGATTCTAATTTTATGATTCTAATTTTATGATTCTAATTCATGAACCAAACGTCTCCTTAATTTATAAGTTAGAAGAGAGAGTGAGCCAAAAATAAAAAGAAGAAAAACTCACCATGGCTTAATGGACCTTCAGGTGTGGTAAAAGGAGCTAAGGCTTGTTCATGACTCAGCCTAATCAGCGCCTAAAGCCAACAAAATTAACGCAATAATATAAGAGACACAAAAGAATTATGAGATAGATAAGGCAGCGACTCACTAAAAGAAAAGCATGAGGCATTTAAGATTATGGCAAAACTAAACCGTTGAGATATTTACCACTTAGTGATTTCCACCGAGCGAAAAAGAAAATGCAAAAAATTAACAGGGGCAAGGTTCATAAGAGCATTGAAGAAAAATTTCTAAAAGTCATACTCTATGCTATTGAGAATCAGAAAAACAAAAAAATGGTACAAAACTAATGGGTAAGAGAAGATGAAGTCAGGGAGAACAGCGACATGAACACCTTGGAGAAGAAAGATGAAGAGAGAAGAGGATTTACAAGCAAGAGGAAACCGATGAGTAATAAAGGAGATAGATGATGAATTTTTTTATATTTTTACCTTTTTTTTTTTTTCAAATCCCATCCGATAAAAGTTAAAGAAGCAGTTCGCAAAGAACAAATGCTTTGGGAAAGAAAGCAAGGAGCCTAGCCCCATATTAAATTCAATAAAATTAGATTATCAAAGTCCTTATATCAGTACACCCACCCAAAAATTAAAAAAAAAAAAAAGAAAAAAACCCCAAGATTTCTCTTTATCCCACAAAACAAAACTAACCCCTTTTAATGGCTTCCTCTACAAACGTTTTTGACAGCAACATTAACCACAAAATCTTTTTTTGTTGATTAGAAACGTTTTTGACAGCAACATTAACCACGAAACCTTTTTTTGTTGATTTATTAAATCAACAGATGACGGGTTTAACTTTTATTTAGTAGACTGTTAAGGACTAATCCAATTCTTATTGTAATTAATTAATTGAGTCGGTTAGTGTTATAGAATTCAGAAGCCTTTGTATTAGCTGACATTAGAATTTGTTATACGGCTGTCCTTGTGTATATCCTCATAGGGATTAGAAATATTCTCTCTATAGGTTGTTATGCCAGCTGGTGCACCACTATAGAGTTTGTTACATTTGTGAGTCTGTATATATTCATTGTAAAGGAAATGAAGTGTTAGTGAAAAATACAAAATTCTTTCGTCATTGTTCTCTTCCTCTTCTCTGCTTTTTCTTCTGTTCTATTTCTAAGTTGGTATCAGAGCACCAAACAATGACGAAAAATACCTCCGATGGCCTCTCTGAAACATCTCAGACTCAGACCCCAGTCAAAAACACTACTCCCATCTCACAACACCCAGCCTCCACACCATCTATTCAAATTGTTAATCCAACTAATCAAATAGGATCGGTTCATCTAACCGATGACAACTTTCTTTTATGGAACCAGCATATTTTAGCTAGTATTCGAGGACTTGGTCTTGAAGCTTATCTTGATGGGACTTCTCAGTGTCCGTCGGAGTTGACACCCACTGTCGACGGTCGTCCTGGATCTGTAAATCCAGAGTATGTGGCCTGGACCAGACAAGACCGACTTCTAGTCTCTTTTCTCCTCGCCTCCATGAAGGAGAATATTCAAGCCCAAATGGTGGGCTGTCACACCTCGAATCAAGTTTGGGTTCGAGTGAATCGGATTTTCACTACTCGCTGTCGTGCACGGGTGATGCAGTATAAGTTGCAGCTCCAAACCTTGAAGAAATGAGGTATGGCAATGCGTGAGTATTTAAGCAAAGTTAGAAAATATTGTGATATCTTGGCTGCATGTGGTTATATTCTCTCTGAGGAGGATCAGATTCTTCATCTTCTTGCCGGAGTTGGGCTCGAGTATGACTCGGTTGTTGTTATTGTGACTTCCCGTATTGAACCTTATACTTTTGCTGATGTGGGAGCTCTCTTATTAGCTCATGAGAGTCGTATTGAGCAGTTCACTGTCAATTCTGATGGCTCAACACCGGTTGTGAATCTGGTCTACCAAAAACCAGAGAAAAGGATATGGAAATTTCACTCAGAAACTTTTCCAAGCACCTGATGCATAGTTTTCCGGTCAAAACAGTTTTCAGATAAGAGGTCTGGTCGTGGTAGTCGTGGTGGTCGTGGCGGTGGACGTTCCTACAGCAATAATAACCGGCCTCAATGTCAACTTTGTAGAAGATTCGGCCATACTGTGCATAAATGCTACTATCGATTTGGTCATCAATTCTCCGGTCCAACTAGTCATGATGGCCCTAATACTGCTCATGGTGGAAATCATTCTCCAGTTGCTGTTGTAGCCTCTGCTCCTCCAGAAATGCTCACTGAGAGTGGATGGTTTCCAGACTCCGGCACGACAAACCACGTGACCAATGATTTGAACAATCTCTCGCTTGGCTCAGAGTACCTTGGCACCAACAAACTTCTCATGGGGAATGGTACAGGTCTGGATATTAAGCATGTTGGATCTGCTTTTGTTACTAATCCTATTTCAAATCATGTTTTTAACCTTAAAAATCTTCTTCATGTTCCACATATCACAAAAAATCTTTTAAGTATCAGTCAATTTGCAAAAGATAATAAGGTTTTCTTTGAATTTCACCCTTTTATGTGTTGTGAAGGACCAAGTCACAGGAGCAGCTCTTCTTCGGGGAAAACTTCATGTAGGACTTGTCGGTAAATTAGGAAAGTATGAGCTGTGGAATAGGTGTATGACTAGATATTAGGAGGGAGAAAATCCGGTTATTAGGAGAGGATAGTTGACTTTGTATTGTTTCCTTATTTACAGATTTTGTTTCTCTGTTTTAGGGATTACATTAGACCTCACTAAGCCTATATAATCCCTGTACATTTTCTCTAAAACTATGAAGGAATAAAAGTATTTTCTATCTTCCATTTCTTACATGGTATCAGAGCCACGGCTCTTCCTTGAAATTTCAGCCTTCCATTCCTTCATCCGCAGCACTCTATTCCTTCATCTGCAGCCTTTCAATTCCCCTTTATTCCTTCTCCTATTTCCGCAGTCTAAATGGATTATAGACTAGCAATGACCGGCCAAAAGAGAGACTCCTCTGCAGCGGGTGACAGTCCAAGTGCAGTGAGTTCCGGTGCCTCATCGGAGAATGTGCAATCGGATTCAAGAGGGCCAGCAGTTAGCGGATGAGCAAAGAACGGTGCTGACGATTTCTTCAGTTCAAGCATGTCCTTCCAATTGACCAGCCATAAATTAAATGGCAGGAACTACTTGGAGTGGGCTCAATCGGTGAAGCTTGCTATTGATGGCAGAGGGAAACTAGGCCATTTGACAGGGGAAATTACAAAACCGGCTGCAGGAGACCGAAACATGGCAGCGTGGAGATCTGAAAATTCTCTTGTCACGGCTTGGTTGATTAATTCGATGGAACCAACCCTTGGGAAGCCACATATGTTTCTGCCAACAGCCAAGGACGTTTGGGAAGCTGTACGTGAGATGTACTCGGACATTGAGAATTCGTCTTAGATTTTCGAGTTAAAGACCAAGCTATGGAAGGCAAAACAAGGAGATAGAAATGTTACAGTGTTCTACAATGAACTTGTAACTTTGTGGCAGGAGTTAGACTTATGCTATGAAGACGATTGGGAGTGCCCAAATGACAGCATCTGGCACAAGAAAAGGGAAGAGAATGACCGTGTTTATGTCTTTCTTGCAGGGCTAAATCAAGATTTAGATGAGGTTAGAGGCCGGATTTTGGGGAGAAAGCCGCTGCCATCCATTCGGGAAGTTTTCTCTGAAGTTAGAAGAGAAGAAAAAAGGCAGCAGGTGATGATTGGAAAAAAAGAATCGGAGGCAGAAAGTTCTGCACTTATGTCCAAAGGGGCCAGGGCTGAAGGAGAGGACAAGAATAGCAAAACGAAGCCTTGGTGTGATCATTGTAAACGGCCATGGCATACTCGGGAGACATGCTGGAAAATCCATGGCAAACCAAGCAACTGGAAGAAGAAAACACCTGGAGATAACCGTGCATCTCAAGCCAATGTTTCTGAATCAAGGCCCGAAGCTACCTCTGGAATGTCGTCATTCACAAAGGAACAGATAGAGCAAATCTGTAAACTTCTCCAGTCTCAAAATCTCAATGATTCAAATCCTTCTTGTTCTCTGGTTCAGAAAGGTAATCACCTAATAGCGTCATGTCTAAGTATCAATTCAAAAGATTCTTAGATAGTCGATTCCGGAGCAATGGATCATATGACCGGATCATCAGAATTTTTTTCTTCATATAACCCTTGTGCAAGAAATCAAAGAGTCAAAATAACGGATGGTTCTTTCTCAGTTGTAGCCGGGAAAGGATCAATTGTTATCTCTCTTTTTTTAACACTCCATAATGTTCTTCATGTTCCCAAGTTGTCATGTAATTTGTTGTCGATCAGTAAAATAACCGTTGATCAAAGGTGTCAGGCTAATTTTTCCTCTTCCGGTTGTCAATTTCAGGATTTGATCACGGGGAAGACGATTGGCAATGCTAAGCAAGTTGAAGGTCTATATCTACTTGAAGATGGATACAACTCGAATTGGCAATCTCAGAGAACTTGTCTCAATTCTATTTCAATTCCTAATGAGAATAAAATTATGTTATGGCATTTTAGGTTAGGACATCCAAGTTTTTATTATTTGAGACATCTATTTCCAAAGTTGTTTTTGAATAAAAATCCAGCTTCATTTCAATGTGAAATTTGTGAACTTGCCAAGCACCGTCGCACTTACTTTCCGGCACAACCCTACAAGGCCACAAAACCTTTTTCTGTAATTCATAGTGACGTGTGGGGACCTTCAAGAATAAAGACAATCACTGGAAAAAGATGGTTCATCACATTCATTGATGACCATACTAGGATCACATGGGTGTTTTTACTCCATGAAAAATCGGAAGCTGAAAATGTGTTTAAAACCTTTTATAAAATGATTCAAACACAATTTCAAACTCATATTCAAGTTTTCAGGAGTGACAATGGCAAAGAGTATTTCAATGAAATCCTAGGGAATTTTGTCGAGCAAAATGGTATTGTTCACCAGAGTTCCTGCAACAACACTCCACAACAAAATGGGGTTGCCGAGAGGAAAAATAAACATCTTTTAGAGGTAACAAGGTCTTTGATGCTTTCTAATAATGTTCCTAAATATTTATGGGGTGAAGCTGTTCTCACATCTACCTATCTGATTAATAGAATGCCTTCGAAAATCTTAAAATTTCAAACCCCTTTAAATTGTTTTAAGGAACACTTTCTGTAAGTTTCTGAGGAGAAAAATATAAATCCTTTCTTGATTTAATTGGTGCAAAACCGGAGTATAAATAAGATACAAAAGGACCTAGTTCCCGTGGCTTAGTGAATCCGGGAAACTAACCCTAATAGGATAGAGA